CTCTCTCTCTCTCTCTCTCTCTCTCTCTCTCTCTCTCTCTCTCTCTCTCTCCCATTCACTCTCTTTCACAGAGGTAATAATAATAATAACCTTAATTATATACAATCGGTTATCTGGTCCATGTTTAACTTAATTAAACGTCACCACCAATAGAAGAAACAGTTCATATTTTTTTACACAACATGTAGGTCTACATATCCAAGCCATTACAACCCACTACAAACAAACACAATGACCCAATAATATAACAAAAACAGTACTGTACATCGACAAATTAATCATCCTCTCTCGTTGTAAGCTGGACGTGGGAGAACAGCCTGGGGCAACGGGCGAGGAGTTAAATAAATGCAATTGTTTGGTATCTGATTACCTTCATGTCACAACGAAGGCATCTGATCATATCATACATGATGTTATATATATATAATCGTTGTGAAACGCATACACGACATAATGATAATTATGACGAGAGTCACAAAACGTGATGAGCATGAACGAATACAAAGATAAAAAAGTAAATTATGAATATGTGACGTCATGAGGTTATAATAATGAATGTGCTGTGCAGACGTTTTGTTTGGTTCTTTTATGTGGTGACAGATTATACGTCATGCAATTGTGTCAAAGTTGAAAGTTAAAGTGAAAGTACTGACAGTGTGGCGCGCGTGATGGGATGTCACTTGTCGTGAGAGAAAAGTTGGGGCCCTCGGGGAATTTGAGGGGTCTGTTGTAAAAGGTGTTCGCCTCTCATTCAATATGTCCCGGGTTCGAACCCGGATAGCGACGAAAATTCTTCTTCTCTAAAATAGTGTCTCCTTTCACCTCCTTTCCTGCTCTCTGACAATGTTCTGTAGTCTGCTTTCGTCTCCACTTTCTGCCCCGACCCTTCACCTCTTTTGTCCCCTCCTCTGGGCTCCTGACTCTTTCTGCAGCTTTTCTACTGCTTCTCCTTGGCTCCTTCTTACTGCTATCTTTCAGTTGCACCCCTGATCTTCTGGTAGGAAAGATCTACACCTAGCCTTGTCGGACAAGGGCGAAAAATCTCGGAGGTTCGTGTGCAAGTTGCCCACGATAAAGATCCCTTGGTGGTCCAAAAACAATAAGAGTAAGCTTCGGCCGCAACCCGGGGAACATTCAAAAGTTGCTACCAACTGAAAATGTATAATGTGTCCCGCTCGCTCATATGGCCTTAAGCAGTTGCAAGCGCAGTAAAACTCTTAACAAGAAAAAGGGAGGGGGGGGGGCGGGGGCTGAATTTGAAGCCATGTGACATCATGTCCTCGATAGGCATAAAGGAGCGTCAGTAATGATGCGAATACAGGAGCATTTCTCTGTCTGTCTGCCTGCCTGCCTGCCTGCCTGCCTGCCTGCCTGCCTGTCTGCCTGCCTTCCTCAGCTGTCTGTCTGTCTACCTGCCTGTCTCGCCTTTATAAGCCCTCACTGCCTCTATTTAATGGAGAAATGCTTCACCTTACGGTACAGGGGCAATGGGCAGGCTGATGATGATGATGATGATGATGATGATGATGATGATGATGATGATGATGATGATGATGATGATGATGATGATGATGGTGATGATGATGATGACGAAGAAAACACATAATACATTATATAAATATTCGCAGCGTTCCGTGTCAAGACTGGTTTCATACGTCCAAACATATTATTACAAACATAGCAAAGAACACAACGCGTTGTCAAAAGGAAGAGAGAAAAAAACAAACATATTACGTCTATGGTCTATGTACATTCTATATATCAGATTGGTATCCCTGAGGCGATTTGTGCATTGTATTTCTGTCCAGAACACTCCAACACATACACGTAATTCTACGGATCGTTAGGTGGTTCCGACAAGAAATAGCACAAATTCATCCACATTGTATATCATACATTTACATAAAATTAAACTTAACAAACATGTCAAACATTTACATAATACGTAATAATGTGCCAAAAGGAGTCATATTTAACATTTACATAAAGCATTTTGTGTTAACACCATCCATATATATATCAAAGATTTATGTAATGCATGTGCTAAAATTGTCCACATCAAACATTTATGTGATGCAAAAAAAGGTGTTAAAATCACACATACCAAACATCTACAAAATGCAAGTCTCTCGATCATTATTTCAAACATTTACGAGATGCAAGAGTTAAAATCATCGTTATCCAACATGAACGTAATGCGAGGTATCAAAGATTTACATGATGTAGGCGTTCAAATCCTTAGCATGTTGAGGTATACTATTATTTGTGTATTAGACCGTATTCAGTCTTCATCGGCTTTTAACTTATTAAAGGAAAAACATCCACCAATATCAGTACATGTATATCGTTTGTGAGACATTGGAAGTCGAGATAAAATGCAGATGACTGTGTATGCCGTGCGTGAGCAGAGATTGCAATTCATGCTGAGCTCGACTTATCAACGTCTCTATGGTGGATATAATATTAAGTTCTGTTTCCCACTAAGAATAAAACAGAGACCGTGATGCAAATGTATTTCTTGATATCTGTGGTTGTTGTTTTTGTTTGTTTGTTTTGTTTGTTGTTGGGTTTTTTCCTTTTTGTTTATAGTCTGATTAGATGTGTACAGATTCAGGAGGTGTGTATGTTCTTCAACAGGAAATAAGAGGCTACCGCGATATTTAGGGGAATTGTACTGTTGTGGGATTTTTTTTTGGGGGGGGGGGGGGGGTTTCCATAGAAAAATATATCTCTTTTTTAAAAACATGGTTTAACACGGTTTAACCAAGAGCTTTGCTGCTTTTTTCGAGAAATACGTTCAGGATGGGGAGTAGTTTTGTTTCATTAACTCCCATGGACGAGAATTGTCCTGCTTAATAAATGCGTAATACATAGTACTAGACTAATAATATTCAAGACACTCTCAAACACATCATAAGACACTCTGATCAATGAATGCCCAACCAGAAGTGAGCAATGTTAAGCCGTTGATATTTTCAGACCAAGTCTTGAATGACCAGAACAGTGACACTGATTCTCTTCATCAAAGAAAGCAACGCCCACAGTATAAACGTCTATGTGTTTAAAGTAAAGATATGTTTTATATGAATTTAGATTAAAAACAAATAGCATATAAACGTAACTTTACATTTTTGGAAAAGAAAAAAAGAAAGAAAATCGTGCACAACATGTTGTTATAAAACACGTACTGGATGCCAATACAGAGAAAATTTAAATACATGTACACACACACACACACACACACACACACACACACACACACACACACACACACGAACACTCACAAGTCCTCAAGTTAAAAAGATCAACTTGTAAAGAATCGGAAACAAACTGAAGAAAACCTGGGCGAGATCAGCCATATGTTTGCTGCCTGGGGTGTACAAGTATACGAAATCGTTATTCGCCAATATCTGCCAGGATTGTATTTACACAGGTGCCACTTTTTATAAAGTGCAAATGTCAGTGGAAAATAGTGCTCTGTCAGCGCTAAGATGCTTATTATGTTGTGTCCAAAGCAGAGTGATACATGTCGGCTATACGTTTTTGTTTGACTTAGAGGCTTTGCCAAATGTAGAATCAACCTGCTCTTGTTACCAGGCTCTGTAGTAGTTTCCCTCAGCCAGCACAAAGATCCCAGATGAGCACATTGGGTGGAGGAAAAGGAAGTCTCTTAGCTGAATGATCAAGTATGTCTGTAGATACGTTTGTATGTTTGTATGTGTATGATTCAGAAAACAGGAAGGAAGGGCGTCTATATATGTGAGTAACGGCAGAGCCACAAGTAGTCGGTGGAAATGGAACACAATGAATGAATTAGTAAGCATTCCCCTGCTAGCGTGGCACACAGTGAGCGGACTGACTGACACATGAATACGCCATTACACTTGTGAAAACAACAATAAAAATATTTCGGATTTCTACCACTAATTTTCCAGAAAAGATATACACAATAAATTGTTTTAAAAAGACAACAAAAAGTAAACATTGGACTTTGTCACACATACAATACCCGTCGTATTTGCTGTTAAAGCTGAGGTGGTATTAATAGGACTGCATGACGATGAAAAAGATTAACGGATTCTACCCGTATCCTGATGATCCTGAGGTGAGATATGAGGACAAACATTCTGACAGAATGCTGCCTGGAGTGAAAGTACGTATATGCGGATTGCAAAGTGATAACAAACAGTAAAATGGTCATTTATGAATATGTACAAGTATGTTATAGTCATGTGTCACCTCTGACTGAATATTGACATGACTTCACAATATCTATCGCCTTTCGTCTGCTCGTTCATTCAAGATTCCCTTCTCAGTCCTCAAAGGACAAACAGTTTGGCATTCAGTTAGCATCAATAACTGCCACGCTCTCAAAGCTATAGGATACTCGTAGATGGAACTAAGAAATACCTGTCCCATTTGAGGTAGATTGTTCAACCAAACTAGACACTTTACTAAAACTCTTCTTTAGCTTTTTAACACCGTGGGACCTCTGAATCAAAAGTCCATGGAACTCCTCATCATTGCAAATTTGAACCAGGGCCATCCGCAATACAGCTCAATAAGATAACAATTGAGCTGACGGAGAGGCTAGCTATAGAGTTCCAGTCGTGGAGACTGTCGTTTGAATACCTGTGGAGGCATTAAAAAGTTTGGAGCTGATTGAAAAGTTTGCAAGGCTCTTCACCGTCATGGTTTGGTCATTCTAGAGACTGATAGTCGATGGGAGGTCATGCCGCTAGAATATCCCACTTTGTTGAAAGGGGCGTTAATCCCCATACTATGCAACACAATACCGTGCGCACATGTCTCAATAAAGATATTTTTAAAGAATTCAGATCCGTCTGGGAGATACAATATAGAGCCCACATAGCCTGGCTAGTCGTGAACAATCTAGGCAGCCTGTCTCCCTCGTTCTTGAAATTAGGTCGACTGTGGCACAAAAAGCATACTATTATGACCATGATAATCACCATGCAATATTGCCATCAGTCACGAAACTGTTTGCTTCTATTCTCTGGGCACGTAGAGGGGTGGGGATGGGGTTGGGGTTGGGGGGGGGGGGTCCTTAATCCTTGTATACTTGATCCTTCATCTGCTCTACTTGAGCTGTTAACGATCTCACGGCCATTTTCAAAACATCGTTTTCCCGCTTCAAATTTTCTTGGTCCGGCCCGCCCATACCTCCGTTGTTGGCAGTATGCGCCGCCTCCGCCGGCAGACTGTGGCCTGGATTGGCTACTGCGTTCATCTGTCCCGCCACGGGCACGCCCCTCGCGAACTGCTCCTGGCTTCGCGGAACCTGACCAATGGAAGACGCCATCGCTGCCACATCATCCAGACAGAGAGAGGCGGGAACGTTATTGGACATGGCGTGGACTCCTGCGTCTGTCATATCTTCCGGCTTCGCGGGGTTCATCATATTTCGAACACTGCCACCTCCGATAACCCCAGACCCGCCTACCATAGCGGAAGCCCCGCCCCTCTGATCATCCGCTCGTTTGTTTCGATTCGTACTGAGGTCAGCTGGGGCGGGGACTGTGTGCGGGCTCTCCGCCCCCCCGAAGAGCATCTGGCCGCCTTGACTCGCGCACTGCATGTAGTATTCATACGCCGCGTAGTTAGGGATTCCCCCGTTGACGTAACGAGAGTAGGTCGCGGCGTTGCTGCTTTTTTCGTGAAATGCGTTCGAGATAGGAGGCAGCTTCGTTTGACTGACTCCCGTGGGCGAATATTGTCCTGCACTGTTGCCAGAAAACTGCACTGGCCCGACGGCGCCCGCACTGCCGCCCGCAGGTCCCCAGCTCGGTGACGGGTTGAAGGGCCCGTAGGCGGAGGGGCCATACTTGTCTGGGTTGAGAACCCCGTCGTCCTTGAGTTTGGGGCTGGAGCTGCAGGTGTCGGAGCTGGCGCGCCGCTCGTTCTCCGGCTCCTCGTTCACCTGGTCACGTGAGGAGCAAAAATAGATCATGTAACAGTTTGTGTTTGTTTTGAGTTCAGTTTAAGTTTCAGTTCAGTAAGAGTTTCAAACAATTCTTGCAACAAAAGCATATCGTATATGTGTCGAATATTAGATTTGTTACTTGTGTGGAATAGAAGAAGAAAAGGGAGAGAATAATAAGGACAATAATTTAATGTCTGATAAATAAAGGAGGAAATCACATCAGAGAAACTGCCAACCACGTACTGTTTTGAGTTGAACAGAAATATCACGTAAGAAGGAACAAGATAATGAAATGATTTTGGGTTTTTTCCTGTTTGTCGGTTCCTTTTTTAGGTTAAAGATATGATGATACTAGTTTTCAGACAACACGTGTAAAATAACCGGCTCGTTTACTGGTTAGAACATCGCTTTATCTTAAGATTCCAAAAGAATAGCGTCTGTGGTGTAGCGGTTAGGCTCCTCGTGTGGGGAAAATTTGTATAACAAATCTCCGCCTTTCTGCTGGCATCTTGTATCCCTCTCGCCCTGGGATCGTCCTGACAGGCAGGACCGCCGAAGCCCGTCTCATAATTCAGTGGTCTAAATTGGGGACGTTTAACTCCTACATTAAAAAAGAGTTGCCTGGTGACAAAATATGGCGTTTACAGCCAAACACAAAAACCATGATGGCGATGGATAGATGGGTGGATGGATGGATGGGGCTAAGGCTATAAAAGCTTGAAACCCATAACTACAGATAGATCTATCTATACCGCATTGTTGAAAAATATTTTGAATGCCCAGATTCACTTATCCCCCCCCCCCCCAAAAAAAAACAACCAACAACAATTGGTCGCTTACCTGATGTAAACCTGGAGGATAGAGAGATGGACTGGTGGAGGACACGTCATCGCCACTGTTGTTCTCCGCTTCCCTCTTTCTCCTGGCCTCGTTACTGGCCTCCTGGGCGTTCTTCACCTCCTGTGGGGATTGATTTGCAGGTGAGAGCTGTGTGTGTGTATTAGTGTGTGTATGTGCTCTTTTGTTTGTGTGTTTTGGTAAGTGTTTTACGGTGCTCGTAACTGCATGAGGTCTTATGAACGCGCGGGACACATTAAACTTTTTCATTTGGTAGGACATTTTTGAATTTTTCCTGGGTGGCGGCCGAAGCCTACTCTTATCAATTTTAGACCACCAAGGGATCTTTAACGTGCGCAACTTGCACACAGGCCCTATGAGATTTCTTGCCCGTGTCCGAGAAGGCTAGGTGTAGATCTTTCCTACCAGAAGATCAGGAGCCTAGAGGAGGGGGCAAAGGAGGTGTGTGTGTGTGTGTGTGTGTGTGTGTGTGTGTGTGTGTGTGTGTGTGTGTGTGTGTGTGTGTGTGTGTGTGTGTGTGTGTGTGTGTGTGTGTGCGTGTGTGTGTGTATGTGTGTGTGTTTGTGAGTGAGTGAGAGAGACAGACAGACAGACGGACAGACAGACAGACGGACAGACAGACAGACGGACAGACAGACAGGCGGACAGACGGACAGACAGACAGACAGACAGACAGACAGACAGACAGACAGACAGACAGACAGACAGACAGACAGACAGACAGAGACAGAGAGATAGGAGAGCCAATGATATATGGGGCTGGAGGAAAGGAAAAAGAGGGGCGGAGTATGAGAGAAAAATCTGAAAGAAATGCTTTGATTTTGAATGAAAAAATACCCCCTTTGCAGTAATCCGACTTTGCAGGTCAACTAGCACAATTTTTGCTTTCTAAGATCAATAGATTCCGACTCGGTCACATATAATATTATAACCGCGGACGAAATAGGAAAACGTTAACAGAAGAGATTTAAATACTTTTACAGCATTTTACAGGTAGAACCCTTTGATTCATCGCCAACTCGGACAAAATGGGTCTTTGTGAATTTGGGCACAACTAAAACCGTGGTTATAAGAAGGTCCAATGAACATTAACACTCTCGCGAATTAGGGTCACTCCTCAGTCTAGGATGGTCCCCGGTCCAGACAATAACTGCGAATAATGACAGGGAAGTCCTCGCCAGCTGACTACAGAGGGGAGAGGAAGGTGGGCTGTACTTGAGGACCTTGTCCAGTTTCATTTTGGGCTTAATGGAGATGATCATGATGTAGCCTTCTCGGTAGAGAGTTTTAAAAATCTCGGAGGCCCCGTGCGCAAGTTCCGCACGTTAAAGATCCTTTGGTGGTCATAAAATCGATAAGAGTAGGCTCCGGTCGCCACCTGGCCAATATTCAAAAGTAATTTCTACTAACCGAAAATGTTTCTCGTGTGCTCATATCATCTTATGCAGTTGTGATCGTCGTAAAACACTTACACAGAAAAAGAGATAGACAATGTGTTTGTGAGTACAAGGACCAATGAATATCCAAAGGTTGATTAATACAAACAAAGGACACTTTTTGGTCATTGCTGTAAATTGCTGTTGCTTCTTTATCAAAAGCAGAAGCAAAATATTTGACATGTATAACTGTTTATACACAATTTTGCGCGCGCACGTGTGTGTGTGTGTTTGTGTGTGTGTGTGTGTGTGTGTGTGTGTGTGTGTGTGTGTGTGTGTGTGTGTGTAAGTGTGTGTGTGTGTGTGAGTGTAGGTGTGTCAGAGCGTGTGTAGGTGTGTTTCCAACTAGGCGAGAATGAGTGGTCTAATGTATCTGTTAAAAGATATCAAACTATAATTCTTTATGACTATGAATAAGCAAACAATTGAAATTTAGTAAATAACTTGATGACAATACATAGATAAAATAGTCTCTTGAGATACCTGCATACACTGGGCTCTTTCTTCTGGAGTCATGTAGCTCTGGTCTGCTGGGATGCCGTATCTGGCTTTGATGAGGGAGATTTCTTTTCTCATGAACGCGTTCTCCTCCTCCAAGAGTGACACCTGGTTGGGGGAGGGGGGAGAGAAAGAAAAAGAAAAAATAATGCACCTGGCTTACTTGATCGTCAGAGCAATCTTTCTATTTGTTTCATGTTTGAGCCCGGGAGTCTGGTTCAATATATATTAGTCGGGCTGCTATGCAGAATACGGACTGTAAAGTTTCCAAGATTTAGAGACGTTTTTGGTTCGACCCCACCCTCAAAACGACCTATTCTGCCCTTCAAGAAGTTTGTTGGGTTTGCATCAACTGTGCGCTGTGGGTTATTTTTTAAATACTTTAATCAAGGGACTTTTCGTGAATATCGTTTACTGATTGTTTTATCTTCTTTCTATTGTTTCTGTTATTTTTCTTTTAAGGATATTTTTTTTCGGAAAGCGATTACATTCAAACATTTCAAAAACATCTGACACACACCTGCTGTATAACCTATTTATTTATTTATTTATTTATTTATTTATTTATTTATTTATTTATTTATTTATTTATGTATTTATTTATTTATCTTTAATTTGATCTGGGATTTTCATCGCACCACAGCCAAACATGATATCAACTGAGCTAATGATGGGCCCATTTATCGAGTGTCAGACATGCTTTCCTGTAATTCTTGGCTTTTCTAAATTATGTGTAAGACAATCGTAGACAGCTCCGAAAACTGGGCTATTTGGACCTAGTGGGAGTTAAACGTCTTATTGTCGTCGTACCAGGCGATTGGCATATAATATGAACAACCCATTTTATTATGACCCGAAGTCATTGGAAAGGTGGAGGTCTAACAATGAGTAAGTTTAATATTCAAACTTCTTTTTTTCTTACTTCCTCTTTACAGACCAGCTCACTGTTAGTTCAGAAAATATCGCGCTACTTTCATGCGGATGTTCATGGTTCGAATTCTGGACAGGACGGTTTTTTTAAACTTGGGTTGATTTTTGAAATACTCGAGTTGTCATTGCAAGTTAAAATAAGTGGTAATCGAACTTTTGTATTTGACTTTCAAGGGAAAGGTGTCTAACCATTCATGATACTATAGGGTGGGTAAGGTTAGTACATCTGTTCAGTTTGAGTAAAAAAACGTACATTCACGGTCAGATATTACAACATGAACAGACTTAAAGGATTGAAAACACACCTACTAGATTAAGATGCAGTTTGCGCGGGGTAAGAGAAACACATTAGCAAAATAATAAACGTAAAGTTTGAGTTTCAACAAACGTGTGAATATGATACGACAGAGGTCATTTAGTGCTGGGACAAAAAAAAAGAGAACTCACCAAAGACAGACACAATAACCCGAGGAAAATGTACTACTAGTCACGTGTCTCAATCACCCACTAATTAGTATGAACTGTGACTGTCGGTGAGTTACTTTGCAGTAAAAGATTTAAAATGTATTAAGACGCTGATACCTTGTGGCGGATGTCGTTCTCCATAAGCCTCTTATTCTCCCTTGACCTTTTAGCGGCCATGTTGTTCCGTTTCCGCTTCTCCCAGTACTTGTCATCTTTCTCCGTATCGGGAATGATCCTCTTCGCGCGGCGTTGAACCATTTTAGGCATGAAATCTTCCTGACTGTCGTCTGTGAGCCAACGCTCTGTGTCTCCCATGAAAGGGTGCTGTTGCTGCTGCTGCTGTTGTTGTTGCTGTTGTTGCTGTTGTTGTTGCTGCTGCTGATGCTGCTGATGCTGGTGGTGGTGGTGCTCTTGGTGCTGATGCTGCTGCTGTTGATGGTGCTGTTGCTGCTGGTGGTGATGGTGCTGAGGGTGGTGCTGAGGGTGATGCTGCTGATGATGCTGCGGGTGCATCATGCTGACCAAGGCGCTCCCGCCGTCTGGTGAGGAAATGGGAAAAACAAAAGTTAGATGGATGGATGAGTGGATGAGTGGATGGATGGGTGGATGGATGGATGGATGGGTGGATGGGTGGATGGGTGGATGGGTGGATGTATGGACGGATGGATGGATAGATAGATAGATAGATAGATAGATAGATAGATAGATAGATAGATCGATAGATCGATAGATAGATAGATAGATGTGGTCAAAATGAAGTAGACAGACAGAGAGACAGAGGCAGAGAGAGAGAGAGAATGAGAGTGAAAGTGAGAGAGATACAGAGAGTGTGTATGTGAGAGAAATACATATAGAGAGAGATGAAGAGAAAGAGGAGAGAGAGAGAGAGAGAGAGAGCGTCTATGACGTGGAGCGGTTTTTAAACATGTAATAATAATGTAATAATGTTTTCGTTTGTTGTATTTGTTTAAGTAAGAGTTTTACGGCACTTGCAACACAATAAGGTCATACAAGTGCAAACGATTAGAGGTCTTACAAGAGACTAAAAAACATAAAAAAGGAGAGATCAGGACGATATATGTTTGATAGGAAAGAAGGGTCAAACTACCCCAGAGAACCCGCTAACCCCCCACGTTTGTTGTATACATGGGTGTGTGTTTAATATGACCGTTGTAACATAATTGCCACTGTACATGTTAGATTTGTTGTTGTTGTTGGTGGTGGTGGTGGTGGTGGTGGCATTGTCATGCACATAGAAACAAACAAATAAATCAAAATGACCAAAACTGACTGAATTAACGAAACGTAGTGACAGAAATCGTAACCGATAGAACGAACTGATCAAATTAACAGATAAGACATTTTTAAAAACAAAAACAAAACAAAAACACAAAAAACGCAAAAACAAAATAAAACTGAACGGCTAAAAATGACAGATACGAGTAAAACTGACTCGCTAATAGGAGAGAAACAATACATACCGATAAATCATGGTGATAGGTCATATTGACAGAACAGACCGCCAGAACAGACTGATTAAAAAATGGACAGACTAAACTCGCAATAAAGCAAAAAGAAAATTTCCATGACACTTTTAGTGTTGAATGCCACTCAACCAACAAAATTTTTAGGCACTGGAGATTCCCCC